CGCTCGTTCTTCGGTGCCATTCTGGCAATCCATCGCAACCAATTTGAAGAGGCCAACATGTACATTGAGAAGGCTCGCAATGGTCTCGATACCGAATTGTCTGCTCTTCTCGGAGAGTCATACAATCGTGCCTATAATGTTGTTGTTCGGGTCCAGATGCTCGCTGAGCTGGAAGAGATCATCACATACAAGCAAAACATCGGTGACCCTGAAAAGCAAGATGCCATGCGTAAAACTTGGAATCAACGATTGCTTGGGTGTCAGCAAAACGTGGAAGTGTGGCAGCGTATGCTCAAGGTCAGGGCTCTTGTCACTGCCCCACGTGAGAATCTTGATATGTCGATCAAGTTCGCCAATCTTTGTCGCAAGTCCAATCGCATGGGTCTTGCAGAGCGGTCCCTTGCATCTCTAGAGACAGTGGTGTCCGATGCCAACGGCACGCGCACTGTTGCACCACCCGAAGTCACATACGCCAGGCTGAAATTCAGTTGGGCAAATGGTCACCAACTAGAATCTCTTGAAATGATGAAGGAGTTTACCTCTGGTCTGACCGATGATTTCTCCAGATACAACACACTTATGGTATCAAATACCGATCATCACGGCGCGAATGGAGTCAACGGGGTTGTCGATCAGAACCACCCAGATGCTATCAGCCTGAATGAACGGATTGGTGACGCCAACAAATTCAGAAAACTTCTCTCCAAGAGTTATCTTAGACAGGGAGAGTGGCAGACAACTCTACAAAGGGGTGATTGGAGGCCAGAACACGTTCGAGAGGTTCTCAACGCCTACTCCGCAGCAACTCAATACAACCGCGATTCATACAAGGCGTGGCACTCCTGGGCACTTGCGAACTTTGAAGTTGTTACCACAATTTCCAACCAGGCTACCCGTGAGGGCATGCCTACGCCGGTTCCTGCTCATATTGTTACAGAGCATGTGATTCCTGCCATTCGCGGATTCATTCGCTCCATCGCTTTGTCCTTGACATCTTCGCTACAAGACACCTTGAGATTGCTCACTCTGTGGTTCAATCATGGCGGAGATCATGAGGTGAATACTGTCGTCACGGAAGGATTTACAGCTGTCAATATTGACACTTGGCTTGCTGTCACTCCTCAACTTATCGCTCGCATCAATCAGCCCAATATCAGGGTCAGGGGTGCAGTACATAGGTTGCTTGCTGAGGTCGGCAAAGCGCATCCTCAAGCTCTTGTGTATCCATTGACGGTGGCAATGAAATCGAATGTGACTCGACGCTCTCAATCTGCTAGCAACATCATGGAAAGTATGCGGCAACATAGCGCCAAACTTGTCGAGCAAGCAGATCTTGTGAGTCATGAGCTTATCCGAGTTGCGGTCTTGTGGCATGAACTCTGGCATGAAGGCCTCGAAGAAGCCTCTCGTCTCTATTTCGGTGACCACAATGTTGAAGGCATGTTCTCAACACTTGCCCCATTCCATGATATGCTAGACAAGGGCGCCGAGACCCTTCGTGAGGTGTCATTTGCGCAAGCTTTCGGTCGTGATTTGGCTGAAGCTAAGCACTATTGCATGATGTATCGTGAATCGGAGGAAATCGGGGATCTCAACCAAGCTTGGGATTTGTATTACACAGTGTTCCGCAAGATCAGCCGACAACTGCCACAGCTATCCACTCTCGATCTCAAATACGTGTCTCCTCGACTTAAGGACTGCTCAGACCTTGACCTTGCCGTTCCGGGTACATACCAGAGTGGTAAACCAGTCATTCGAATCATGAGCTTTGACCCGATCTTGCATGTCTTGCAAACAAAGAAACGACCGCGTCGCATGACGCTCAAGGGCAGCAACGGTAGCTCTTACATGTACCTTGTCAAGGGTCATGAAGATATCCGACAAGATGAGCGTGTCATGCAACTTTTCGGTTTGTGCAATACCTTGCTGGATAATGATGGCGAGAGTTTCAAGCGACACTTGTCGGTCCAGCGCTTCCCTGCTATTCCATTGTCTCAGAGCTCTGGTCTGCTGGGATGGGTGTCCAACAGTGATACATTGCATGCCTTGATCAAGGAATATCGTGAAAGTCGTCGGATTCTACTGAACATCGAGCACCGGATCATGCTTCAAATGGCACCCGACTACGATAGCCTTACTCTCATGCAGAAGGTCGAAGTCTTCGGTTACGCTATGGACAACACGACCGGCAAAGATTTGTACCGTGTGTTATGGCTCAAGAGTAAGAGCTCCGAGGCATGGCTCGAACGCCGTACGAACTACACCCGATCGCTCGGTGTTATGTCTATGGTTGGCTACATCCTTGGTCTGGGAGACAGACATCCATCGAACTTGTTGCTGGATCGTGGTAATGGCCGTGTGGTTCATATCGACTTTGGTGATTGCTTCGAGATCGCAATGCACCGAGAGAAGTACCCGGAGCGAGTTCCGTTCCGACTTACTCGCATGTTGACATTCGCCATGGAAGTCAGCAACATTGAGGGTAGCTACCGCATCACTTGCGAAGCTGTCATGCGTGTTCTACGAGAGCACAAGGATTCCTTGATGGCGGTCTTGGAGGCTGTAAGTAACCTGATTCCTTCATGTTCTAGAACGGCACCCACTAACCTTTGCTTTTCTAGTTCATCCATGACCCTCTAATCAACTGGCGTCTGGGTACACAAGAGTCGTCCCCCGACCGAGTGTCTCTCACTGCGGATCGCCGCCAGTCCATCATGGAAGGAGTCAATTTCGAACCCGGCGCCCAGCCACCGGGCGATTTCTCCCGTCGCCGCCGCCCGTCTATGCTTGAAGGTGGTATTCTCGATGCCCCAGAAGGTGTTCCCCAAGAAGCCCGCGAGGCACAGAATGCCCGTGCTCTGCAGGTTCTCGCGCGAGTCAAGGAGAAGCTTACTGGACGAGATTTCAGAAATAACGAAGAGCTGAGTGTCAGCGACCAGGTGGACAAGCTCATTGCGCAGGCAACCAATGTTGAGAATATCTGTCAACACTGGATTGGGTGGTGCAGTTTCTGGTGATCTGGCTTTGCTCTTGGAGTTCTACGGCGATGATGATATGATATGATGCGTTTTGTTTCGATTCCTCACTTGTATTTAGAGTTAACCCCGGTCATTTGCTATTTTCTCGTTCGTATTTTTAAATTCTCCCACTACACCTCTAATGCTTTTGGTTTATGGTTAATTCTGCTTCCTTGATAATTGTTTGAGGATATATGGATGTCTAGATCCCTTTTTGCAAGTTAAAATATTAAAGATACATCCTCCATTTTATTATTCTATTTTCTTCAACATATTCACCGAACAAACTTCTACATCAAAAGGTTGTAGTATTGTATCACGTGATCACATGATCAGTGGCGATTGAGCTTTGGATTTACCGTCCCTGGGATGGACCTTCGGACATAGCGACTTCCTCATTCCAACTTTTTTTTAAAAACTTTATTCTTCACATTTCCAAGCATCATGGGTGGAGATTTGAACCTGAAGAAGTAAGTACCGAGTTCCGGCTTCAATATCTACCCCGAGAGGGAAGCATAACACTAACCTCCAACCAGGTCATGGCACCCAGGCTTGATCAAGAACCAGGAGCGCGTATGGCTAGAAGAGAAACGCGCTCTCGAAGAGCGCAAACAGATCGCGCAACTCCAACGTGAGCGCGAGGAGGAGCGCCAAATGGAGGAAATTCAACGCCTCCAAGAAGCCTCCGGAAAGACAAAGCAACACCGCCGTGTCGACTGGATGTACCAGGCGCCCTCGACCGAGAGCGGGCACTACTCGGAGGAGATGGAGGGATATCTGCTTGGAAAGCGACGCATCGACGGAGTTCTCCTGAAAAACGACCCTGACACTAAGAAGCTGGAGAAGGGTTCGGAGGTAGTGGGCAATGGTGTCGCGGCCGGCCCGTCTATTGTCTCGGCGCGCGATACTATGTCGAAGGTTATGGCGGACCCGCTACTTGAGGTGAAGAAGAGAGAACAGGCGGCCTACGAGGCGATGGTGAAAGAGACGTTCAGACGCAAGGAAAGAGAGAAGGAGCGTGGAGATCGCGATCGGGGAAAGGATCGTGAACGTCGCCATCGTACCCATGACTCAAAGCGCAGACGCTATAGTGATGATGCTGGTGATGACCGCCGTGACCGCCACCACCGAAGATCTTCACCCCGACGACACAGATCTAGATCACCTGGGTCGCCCGATCGATCTTCGCGCAGACACCGAAGTGACCGTGATCGTGAACGCCGTGACGACGAATACCGCCCAGACAACCGTGAGCGGAGAAGCGATGAGCACCGATCCCGCCGGGACGATAGGGACCGGGGCCGAGACCGTCGCGACTACCAAGACAAGAGAGACAGAGACTCCTACTCCAGCCGACACCAAGATCGCGAAGATAGAGGTGGACGGGACCGCTCACCAACCCGTAACTCCCGATCCCCCCGCCCATCTAGCGATCGCAAAGAACGCCCCGCTGTTGACGAAGATCGTCGTCGTGACTTTCCCCGGCGCGAATACAATAATCGGCGTGACTCTGGTCGGGCCATGGGGCCACCCCCGGCCCGCGCACCAGCAAACAAACCTGATCCCAAGGAACTGGAGGAAGAACGTCGTCGCAAGTTGGCAGAGATGCAAAGCAACGCCACAGAAATCGAGTCAGAGCGACGCCAGCGAATTGAGGAGATCTCTGCCAAAGAGGAAGAACAGCGTGAGGCTGACGATCGCCTGCGTTCAGACCGGGGCAGGTTCATGTCTGATGTCAATAAGCGAGTACAGGAGGATACTCTCGATGAACGCATTCGGCGTAGCCGTGGTGGACTTGCGAAGATGCAGGAGGATTAGGTCCGTCTTGGTTTCTATGTCGGACTAAGCATTTGCCTTTACTTCGGGGTCTATATTCATGACTTCTTGCTCTCTTTTTAGCGTTACTAGGAGTTTTGATACACATGTCAATGATATCCATTGTTCAAGCTTTTTAGTATCCTGCGTGTGTTCCAAGATCCATATTTATCTAGACATCTGGGGAGCTGAGGAGGACATGGCCATCCTCACGGGTAGCACATCACGAGCAGCACAGTTCACTACATCCTGTTTCGAGTACCTGGGGTCACCCTTCTGCTGGTAGCCATTTTGGAACGACCAGCACTCTGAGACGGGGGCCATTCCTTTAGGATTCCACGAGGGCTTGATGTCACCACCTCTTCCGACTGCATTAGTTTTCCGCGCAGTCTTCTTCATTTGAAATGTTCCCATGATTGAGATTGAATTAACAGCATCGTCGGTGCTATGGCTCTAATCGGGACTTCCACCAAAATCCTTCGTCGTTGTCGGAATCATGTTCTCCACCTTTTGCTTTGCTCGTTCGGACTTGCAGTCGGCTTGTAGCTTGTAGTGAATAGTGGCTTTGTCGATAATCACAGCTTGATGGTTCGAAACGTTGGCCTTCGAAGCACTCGACGTACTCAGGCTCATAGGGGGTAATTGCTAGGAATATCTCATAATTATCCTGTGAGACAGGCATGAGTCTGTGAAGTCTGGTCAGGAAATATTTCATGATAGTCGGTATCGGACATACGTGGGGCGGGCAACGGCATTGTAACCAGCGCCTTGTCCTGTCGTGCATTATCCACACGACCTTCTGGCCTGTCTCTTGCCATAGAACCTTTCGATGTTTGGTTCCCGAATGTTCGGATTGCCCTTTTTATAAGAGAGCAGACGGGTCTAGGGCACTTTCGACCTGGAGGTTTTGGTGGTGGAGAGGTCAGGAGAGTTGAAGATGGGAGGTTGGACTAAAGTGTATACGCTCCTTTCCACAGAATGTTTCCATATATCTACATGGCGGGCACTATACACATGTGTTATAAAATAAGTACTATTTGGCTGCGTAATGTCTGCAAAGCTCCATAGTTGCGAGTATTGTAGAATCAGTCCCTTTCCATCATACGAAGCTTGAATGATTCTCCCCTGATAATCGCCCATAAAAGAGAGAACCAAAACCTGTACATATCTTAGATATAATCAAGTAAAATGTGCAAAATCACATACTGGATGAATATGGCATCTGCCGAACGGTTTGTGATTCACTCGAAGAAGCATCACGTTCACGATGGCTCTCAGCTCGTGGCTAGTGAGGCCCCTGGCTTGTATCAGGCCAGAGTTGAGCGATACATGCGGCTTCAAAGGGCGACTGCTGTATCGGTAATGATTGATCACTTGCCACGGTTTTGGATCTCCAAATCCCTCGTAAGTATCAGGGTCATTTTCACTCTGGTCCGGGCTACCAATGGTTACTTTTATATTTAGCATTCAACACTTGACTGTTTACTTGCTCTCAACATTCCTGCTTATCGTCCCTGAGGTCTCCAAGTGCGAACCATTCATGCGTTCCGTATCTTACCACCCGGATGTGAGACTCAATCATCTTCTCTACATCCTTGGCATTGTATGGATCGCGCTCTGGCGGAAAATCCGACGACATTTTGTATTCCATTCTCGCAATTATTGGAGCGTTTTCAGGGGAATTCTCCGTCAGAGCATCCTCTATGTAATCTTTCAAGGTTTCGGTGTATTGTATGTCCTGTGGATCATCTTCCAAGGCCAAAACGTGGATTGGATATTTCTGAAACGGTTTATCGGGGTGCGGCCGAAAGAAGCAGGGTTCAAATTGGAGACTTTCGTCATTTTCCGGAGCCAGGGATACCTGGAATGCTTTAATTCCAAGTTTTTGGAAGTCATCGGGAGAAGGGAAATCAGGCTCGAGATCTCTGGCCTGTTGAACGAGGGACCTGAGAAAGTCATGGGGCTGAGCTTGTGTCTCGGCCATATCGAGATATTTGAAGGGAAAAGAAAATTGCGCCAGCCTGAAAAAGATGTAGGTGCCTAGATTCCAAGGGTTTATATAGGTGTCATAGTTACATGTACTATATGTAATCTTGGATCAAGCCCGTAGATCTTGGGTTCAATCACACTCTAATTTGGAACTTTCTGATTAACCGGTACTTCGCTCATGGATATAACCCTACCTAGGTATTTACTCTACCTACTCTGCTCAGCTTAGTTGAGTTGCAGAGACGGTCTGCGCTTTCGAATATAGCAACCTTGGAATTCCCGAGGTTCCGCTTCATCTGGAGTTACCTACTCAGCAAAGGTCAACCTTGGGAGCCCATAAGAGAAGATAAGTCCCTACGTAGGGAGGGCACCGGTGTTCAAGCCTGACTACGAGGACTCATCAACTGTCTAAAAAGGGCCATTAAAGGGTGGCATACGGGAACTCACAATGGCTCAGATCAATGCTAAAATAGGAGTATGAATCTAACTACTCTCTATAGCAAAAAGGTTGTTTAAAATGCCCGGGCAACCAGTCTCGCCGGCTTATTGATTGCATTTGGGCCGAAGCCTTAACTCTGGTAAAGAGAAAATAAATTAAACGGCCAACGAAAAAAAACAATGGGTGGCAATGCTCCTCAATCTTCCTTCTCGTTCTTTTTCTTCTTCTCTCACCTTCCTCCTTGTTGGAGGCGCCGCCCACTGATTAACCGTTAGCACATCCCATTGATAACACAGAACACAATGACGCTTCAGCGTAGTAAGAAAACGCAACCACACCAAGAAATGCAGCAACACGCCAAGTCAGGATATAGTGCTGGGGTAAGATAAGAGCGTATTGGCATTGTTCTTACCGATGGTGGTGGCAGGAGCGGGGGCACGTCCTAAGCAATATTCATTAGAACCTGCTCCCATGAGGACAACACTGACCTCGACATTCTGTATCAGGATCAACTTCCCAACTACGCCAGTGGCGTGTGCCTCATTGGCGGGCGGGGGCCATAAGGGGAGTGCGGCCGGGGCTGGAGGGAGCAGTGCTGTTGGAGGCGGCTGCTGAGCACATAAGGTATGTCAACATTTTGTTCGCTTATTCCGTAGAGTTGTTTGGGGATAACACGTACCCCCCTTCGCAGCAGACTTGACTGTTGATATGTTAGCCACTCGTCTGTGAGCAACAGAGCAACGTGAAAAAGAACGAAGCGAGAACGAAGCGAGAAAGAAGCGAGAGTGAAGTAAGCCGAAAGCAAGAGGGAACTTTTGGGTAAGGTACCATGGACAATATCATGCCATACCCTTCTTGGCCTTGCCGCATTGAAAGGCACGGTGCGCCTTGCGCTTGGTCTGCAGCAGTCACATCTCAAATTAATAACCTTTCCCTAAAAGCAGGAATGTGGATCTTACGGGGAGAGGGGCGAGGAACATCTAGTTGAGGGCGCCCAGCGCCTTCAACCGGCGGCAGCTGCCTTCGTATAGCCTGGCAGGTTCCAATAATAGCAAAGGCTATCGTTTATTGGTACATGGTTCAAAAATCTATGAATATGTGATAATCGTTGGGAGTATGATAGTCATGGTAGAAGCCTCATTGCATTGGGGATTGGGAGGCCTCAGGAAAGAAACCCAACACTTACACGAGGCTGCTTGAGTCCAATATTGCCGGGAAGGGATATTTCCTTTTTTTCGAAAATAAAAACAAAGAGAAAAGACTGACGGCAGACGCGAGAAACGAAAACAGCACAAAGGTGTGCGTTGACAAGGGGAAATTCTTTTCGGCCTACATGTAGGTGGAAGTCACTGTTGTTCCAAGGACTCCTTCCTCAAGACACAAGAGGTTCTTTCTCAAATAATACATCTACCTCGTCGTCGGTATACCTACATATATGTAAGTAGTGTCCACGGGTCAAATGTGCTGACATCATCAAGCCCTAACTTGGCATTTTTTACAACATAACTAAACAACTAATAGTTATACATGTCACTACGTAGCCCGGGCTATTTATGGTCAATACTACCATATACCCCGAAAGCTGACCCTTGAGATGCTCGCCAAAGTTGCTGTTATAGCAGACTACTATGGATGCAAGGAGGCTTTGTATTTCCCGACAGATATGTGGATCAAGAACGTGGAGGAGAATATTCCCACGACGGTTTCTCCGGATTTGTAATGATAATATGAGGGTTTATTGCGTCAGAAACAATGGATTAAATGAAGTAACATTGGGATGAGGAGAAAGGAGAGGATATTGAACAGAATTGAAAAGAAGCAGATTGAGAGGCGAGTCAGGTTAGCGCAGCCTAGCAAGGCGACTGTGAATGGTATTGGGCTTGAACTGTGTTCAGCCTCACTTTCCTGTTGGCTAAAGCCAAGGGGTATATATGTACAGACACGCTGTTTGTTTATAACGACTTGCAGAAGCATGCATTTGTACCTAAATATCCAGCTCGTGGCAGATTGAGTATTGGTTATGAGATGCGTGTTATGTCTCGTTCCTATCGTAAGCAAGCAATCCAGAGCCCGGGAAAGAAGTCAGATATCTTACAGCCTATGAGTATCGCTCGATCTTCGGCCTTTCGCTGGAGCAGCACCAGGCCGCGGCGTTTGAGCTTGAGCCATTCTAGCCGTATCAGCCACAAGAAGACTGAAGGACGATGTTTACTGGACGATGTTCGATGCTCTGGTCAACGGTGCTCAACATGGAACTTGCAACTGTCGCAATGGGATCGATGCTTCAGTGGCCGTGAAGCCCTCCTGGGTGGGTAAATAAAGGGCTATTTCTTATCGAAAGTATCCAACATTAAGCAGGTTGAATTACGCTACTCTAGTAACAGTGTCAGCATTACATGAAGCACATAGGCCATTTTACATGGCATTCAAATCTCTATCTAGTGCTTGTAAGATTAAAATTGATGAAGTTGGACCGATCACTCTGCCCGCGGGCCAGACAATTTACTCATTTTCACGGACCATATCTAACCATGATTGATACTCCTCCGATGACATTGATATCATCATCAAAGACCGATGCTCTTCGGGCGTCAGTGTTCTCTTAGGCTTGTCAGTAAGCCCCTCCTCCACAGCAAGCATAGCAAGCCGCCTCGCGACTTCGGGGATACCCGCACTGCGTTTAACATCCACGAGGTTGATCTCGGTCGGCTCCATCTCTTCTTGCAACTCATTAAAGACGGTGAAAAACAAAACACCTGGCTGTGTGACAAATGATGGTCTATCAAGAACCACTGCGAAGAATTTGTGTGCAATGGGCTCGTATGCGTAGTCGCCAATGCCGAAAGGCAATGTTCGTTCTTGGCGAGTACCAGCGTCGAAATTGTGCAAAGCACCGACGGGAAACTCGTTGCGCTGAGAGAGTAGGCAGGACAATGATGATGAGCTAGGAGTTTTGAACTGGAGGCGAATCGACTTGTTGAAGCCAAGCTGAGAGATGATTGCCGCTGTGAATGTTCGAGCTGTTGTTTCCAAAAGCGAAGAATCTTGTATGTCTGCCAAGAATGAAACGTAAACCACATATTGAATATCGCAGTCCGAGGATTTGTTTGCTATTGTCAATGTGGCATCATGCCATGTAAGGTGGAGTTTACTTTGATCCACGGCCTTGATTTCGTCTGTTTCCTGTCTCTCAAGAATTTCCTTGGTTTGTTGTGCATCGAACTTTGTTTCCACCGGTAAAGCCTCACCAAACCCATAATCAATGTCGCCGAGGTTGACAAAATTCATGAAAACCCCCTTCAGAAGATCAGATACAGTGTCGTCCATGTATTCTTGGTCATTGATGAGTTTGACACTCGTTTCATTCGTTTCAGGGGACACTTCAATCTGACCCTTTCGAAAACGGTCGTAGTTCAGTAACGACGAACCCAGCCGGGTGATCATATTCAAATTCGGGATTTCACTAGGAAATTTCCGATTAAAAGTGATCCATAGGGGCCCGGTTCCAAGATCATTTCGCTCCTCTGCACTAAAGCCAGCTTGATAGCTTTCCGATGTAAGGAGAATACAGAAGCCCGACCCAAAGTCATTTTGAGTGCTTGCTCGAAGGTTTGGAATCAATGGCGGCAGCACTTCGGGAGATTTTTCCGTTTGAGCATGGAGACGCTTGCGGTGGGCAATCTCCCGCCGTTGGTGTTCAACGCAGGCGAGGGCGTCGGGTGGATTGTAGGAGTAGATTTCCATGAAACATCCATGTACCAGTTCTTGGAAAAAGTAGTCGTGCAAATTTTGATAGTCCTCTGATTTTATGGGGGTTTTGCTGTAAATTTGAAGTCGAAATGCATCTCGTCCTTCTGGTTGATGATATTCACGATCTCTGGAAGCAATCTTTCCAAGAATGACGGTGTCACCTTGATGATCAGGGTATTCACGTTGCCGCCATTTGGGACCCGTATACTCAGGGTCGGGCCTCGTCTGCTCTGTTCTAGCCATCTTATGTGTCAAGTAGAATATGCATGGAAGTCAAAAACGAGATATTCCAAGTTGTAAGTAACAATCACCTTGGGTTTCTGGACACGGGCCCGCAGGCTCGCGTCTTAGGCGGTGACTAAGCACTATTAATCCCTGCCCGCCCCTCCGAACACTGGAGGACAAAGGGGCTCGTAATACGTCGATCTTCTCGTCTTGGTGTTGCGGATATAACGATCGACGTCGGTTCCATACCGCTAATTTAGAAGGTTTTCAGCGGGTCGGTTGTTGGTTAATGTATTTTATACAGATTATACAGATTATACATTTCTTCTTCACTCCAATTCACGAAATATGTAAAGATTAAATATCACATCGCTGTTGCTCACAGTGTAAGAAAATAAGAGGGTATCTACATGAAGTTGGCTGAAACCAAAGAAAGACTAATGAGGTATACTCGCATTTACAGGGTGGGAGCTAGGATTGAATTGTTATTTGGATCGGTTTGTACAGATATTCGTAGATCTAACAATAGTAGATTAGGCAGTGTGGTGGTCTCAAACCACCTGATACCTGATATCCGCATGCATGAATGTCAACATATACATGGAAAAATAATTCAGATAGAAAATAGAGTACATGAATACGTCTCCTCGATACTCAGCCATCTAGAGCCCTAATGGACCGTAGCCATTATTACCCCACATGCCATAGGCACCCGACTGACCTGAGATACCACCGGGTGCCAAAGGGAAGACCATGTGTTGCTCGCTCAGAAGAGTTCCAGGAGCCATGGACTTTTGAACAAAGTTGGCGATGGTTGCTTTGTCTTGCGCCGAGACCTTAGTGGGGTCGGCGTTCTTGTACTTCCCAAGTTCTGTCTTGGCCGTTTTGATCCAGTCTTTGGCCACCTTTTCAGAAAGATAGAGATGCTGATCAATCCAGTAGCACCACAGAGTTCGGAGACCCCAGCTTTGAACATTTGCAGGCTTTGGTGGAGGCTTCAAAGGTGTTCCTGTGTTCTGGTAACTGTGCTCGCCCTTGGCGGTGCCCCAAAAGTGATCGTCGAAAAGCTTAGAGGCTTCTTCAACTCCATTAGAAGGCTCAGTCCACATTGGCTTGATGTTTGGGTCATTGAGGTAGAAGAATACATTGACGACCTAAGAAAGAGTCAGTATATCGTTCAACGAGGTGACGGAAATGGTTAAGCTGCTTACATCTCTCACCACGTTCATAGCCGCTTGGGCATCATCAAGTGGGATTTTCCGCCTTTGGGCTCCAATAACTTTACCTTTGGAGTTATTTGCGTCGCCGAAATAGAGAGCCATGAGATTCTGCCTGGAAAGACCTGCAAGTCTCTCCGCTGTGACTCCGATCCAATTGGCTTCATCGTTGTCACCGGGGAACTCGGGGTACTCAAAGCCACCTGTGTCGGAGCCAAAGACGGCAGCACACCAGGCTGGATTTGGTTGTTGCCAGCCCTTAGGGAAGATGATCTTCTGTTTTGAATACTTGAGCTCCCTGGAGCCCTGACAGAGCCATTCTAGGAATTTTGAAACTGTCTGAGCCTCAAAAACATGATCGTTTTGGAAGAGTTTCATATCGACTCCCTTGACAGTATTTGAGTTTGCATCTGCAGGATACTTTTGAATCTTTGGGCTACAGCCGCCGCCTGCCGCCGCACCCTCAGGCATGTACCACTTTTCAGACCGTTAGCATGAATTTAGGACTGTTCCAGGGGCATGAGCAAGTGACCAACCTTAGCGATTTGGTTCAATGAATTGAGGTTTCCAACAGAGCACTGTGGGTACTTGGAGTAAAAGAACGATCCAGCGAACCACGAAAGACTGATTTCCTTGTCTCCAGTTGCCCTCTTGGAAAGAGAAGATCCGTCCTTACATGACTCCGGAACTGGAGGACCGAAGTAGACGCACGTATCTCCTGTGTCGCGGCGGGTCACCGAGCTATCACTGTCTTCACTCGATTTGCAAACAGGACAGTCGATCTCACCCTTGTCTGAAGTGTTGCTTGGACAAGAAAGGAAAGTGTCTGGAATTCTGATCACAGGTCCTAAGCTGAACGTGTCACGTTTGTCCATTTGGTGCACAGCCAGCATATCAGAGCTGTATGGTGAAACATAATTGTTTGACAAATGTTCGATCTCATCAAGCGACCGACGCTTGTTGTCTCCCGGGCATGTCTCTGGAGTGATCTGCTTTCGCGGAACACTAGCGATGGGAATTTGAGTCTGACCACCCCAGCCATATATCTCGGGTGCATTGAGCTCAGCGTAAATGTTGGAACCGGCATCAATACCATAGGAGAATGGACAAGAATTGTCCGAGCTTGTCGAGAGACCAGCCTTTGCATGGAAAATCGTGTACCCATCAAGGACCAAATCAACGGTACACTTATCCACCTTCCATCTTTTGTCAAACACAATACCAAATTGCACTGTGGGCTTGAGATGAAGAGCAACCTCTCCAGTTGCAGTAACGCTTGCCTCGAAACTAGGCTTACCCAAAGTTTGGGTGCCATCATTGTCAGGCTTCTGAATTGCATCTGGGGGATAGTCGGCATTCTCTGGATAGGTCTGCCGAATCTCCCATTTGGCAACTGTAACCTCCGCTTCTAAGTGCCCCGCAACGGTAAACTGGGCATCAGCAGAGGCATATACAGCCAGGTTGGGACCTACGGTGACAATACCTAGACTATTGTGTCAGTAAATCTTTCCCCATTGCACTGGATGCTATGTTTTCGTACCTGGAACCCGGAAAGTGGCACCGGGGAAATCATCAAGACCAAAGAGTTTGACATCACCGGAACTGTATGTGAGTGAGGCTACCGCGTCAAGCTCAAATTTGGCTGTCACCTCGCCTTTGTTTTTGAAGAACAGGTAAGACTGACTGAGGTCGAGGTCCTCACCTAATGTGACAATAATGGTCAACCCGAACGAGGTGTCGACCTGGAGATGGGCGTTCACGGTCGAACGAACATTAGCCTGGGCTTGTGCAGGGCCAACGGGACATGGGCCAAATTGTTGATCAATCAAGATCACTTCAACTGTCTCATCGACAGTGTGTGTGATTTCTTTGGTTGCTTCCACGCTAACGTGAACTAGGTTATGTAGCCAGGCGAGGACATCTTCTCCAAACCACCGCTTGTGAAGCTCATCACGAGAGATCGACTCAGAATGGTATGCCTCTCGCCACTCTTCCTCCATCCAGCGCTTAGGATTCTCGTGGAGTGATGATCGATCACGCTTGGTCTTTCCTTGGCCGGGTCGGTTAACGACTGCATCCCAGTAGCCTTTCTCGTTGCTGAAGTCAACGCGCATCTGACTTTCTCCATAGTCTCGAGGCACGCGTCGGAAGTTATAGTCATATGTCAGGTCGTAGACTTGAGATGAGCCAAAGTCGCGCTTGGCCAAGTGCCCAGCAAGTGTTTGGTTTGCGGATAACTGGAAGTCCTTGGCCACAGCGTATCTTCCTGGACCGCAAGATTCTGGCATCTGAAGAATAGTGCCGGGTACACCCTTACCCAGGTGGATCTTGTCACAAAGGCTGTCTTCCGAAGAATCCGTGCATATGACTCGTATGGTCTGTTCGTCTTCGCTATCGGAGTCAATGCAGTCCATGACTTCCCAGGGAGATCCATCTCTTTTGTCCAGACTGACAGACACTTCTTCAGGTGCGGTAATTACCACAAAGCCGAAGGACGCGTCATTTGGGCTCTCTGTAGTCTTTGCCTTGCCTGTTCCCCAAGTATCATCGACCTTCAGATTGAATTCCGCCGTGGACTCATCAGGGGGAGGCTCAGGGAACAGATAGTCGAGCGGAACAGGCATAAAGGGGCTCTTTCCACTTGCAGGATTGCAACAGAATGCGCGTTGCCGAGTCGTAGGTGAGCAGTCTTCTCCACCGCCGTAAGGGCTGTTGGTCAACATGACCTCGTGGCCAGTATTGCAGTGGTTGTCATCGCAAGAATAGACGAATTTATCAGTGGTTCCCGCCCAATAGCAGTCTTTCCAATTCTTAATCTCTTCCTTGCTGCAGCAATACTGTTTCTCATTTTCCATATCGAGATCACTGAGTGCATCCGAGAGTGCCTTTCCAAATAGACCTGCAAGCTTGGCAGGTCCTTCCAATACCTCTAAGAATGTTCCGGCATAGGTCAACGCACTCTGATCGTCGCGACAACCATATTGCCAACCACAGTTTATACCACCTCCTTCGGCTACCTCAGGGATCGGACAACAGTAAAACTGCCGACCATCTGTGCAATGGCCATTTCCTCCGTCAACACTAGAGGAAATTGCGACCTCTCCACCATGACATTGGCCATTGCAAAGCGACCCCGTTTCGCCTCCTCGCCAGGTACAGGTACTTGGATCTGGAGCAGAGGCAATAGGACAGCAAATCTTCTGGGGGCCATCGCCCGAGGGACAGTCGATAGACTCGATCTCAATCAGACCGGTGCTGCACTTTCCGCCACATGGACTGGTCTGACAGTCGCCAACAGCCTGGCTTTCCCAGAAGCTAACATCATCCGCCAGACTCTCGCTGACCTTAACGTCCCGGGGGAAAACGACACCACGAAGATCATCGAGGTTGCTATCATCCTGATCCAAAGACCAAATTAACAGACCACCTAGTCCCTCTTCGTTGGCCCATTTGATCTTCTGTTGAAATGTTTGCTGATCATCAAACGATGCCCATTGGTCTTCATTCCACTTGAAGTACTTGACAGCGGCTTCCTTGTCATATATGGGCGTGATATTGCGCGAGGCCATCACATCGACCAATTCGCGATAGGAGAGAGTACCGGAGTTCTTTGTACAAGCTCCTTCCATACCTCCACCCTTAAATAGACACCCGGGATGCCAGCAGTCCTTGTCTTTTAACTGGAATGTTCTTGAGTAAAAGGCCAATCCTAGGTTAACCTTTTTGGCCGGAACTTCATTCCTCCACAGCAAATTCATAGAGTCTTTAATCTCTGTCAAGTTGGTGTGGGCAAGGACATGGTTTCCAATAGGATCATCACGATCCCAGACACCATGTAGGTCATAGGACATGAAGTTGACATAGTCCGCAGCTTTAGCCATCTCTTTGATATCAAACCATCGAAGATACCTAGGAGACTGTTAGTAATATTCTTATCAAAATGGATACAACAAGAAGTCAATTCCAATAGTGCTGTCTTACCAATAGGATGTGGGAGCAGTGAAAGAAAGCTCGTATTGTTTGTCTTCTGCATCAAAAGCCTTCCGAATATCCTGCATGAGCTTCACATAGCCTTCGGTGTTGGCGGTAGTGTTTGACTTTGGAGGTTGGCGATCCGTAGCACCAGGATATTCCCAATCGAGGTCAACAGCATCAAAGGCATAATGCTTCATGAACGATAGCAGTTCATCAATAAATTTCTTCCTCTTTTCCGCTGAGGAGACAACATCGGCAAAAACTCCTTGAGTATCCGTGTGGTTGTTATTGAAGTCCCATCCTCCGATAGAGACACCGACAACGACATTCTTATTCCTTTCCTTCAGTGCTGTAAAATCGCTGAGACTGGACTCATCGGCCTTCGGCATCGGTCCGACTTTGTAGGTATCTGGCTCAATAACGGCAAAGGCATCTAGTAATAATAGGTCAGAGACATCCGAAGCAGATTAAATCGCCACCAGACCACTATCCACTCACAGTTGATATGGGTCAAGCTCTCGACGGGAACCTGATCTATGTTCATGCCCATGCATTGCTTGTCCTTCTGCCAAGCTTCGTAATATCCAATGATGCGCTGCTGGACATCACTGCCAGTGGCATTTGATGAGGGCTGGTCACATCCACTTTGGCAGCCTTTGTCGCAAAATTCAGATGTAGTACCACAGAATCCAAAAGGACTGCAACAGACATTCAGTGGGCATTTCTGTCCTTTGTGTAGAGCATCTTTACCACACTCGGCATGGGCATCACAGTTACTCCAGCATGCATCGTTCGGAGACTCGCCTGTTGTGCCACAATACTGATCACCAAATCCACAAACGCCAGATTTACTACAGCATGCCGAATTGGAGCATGGAGTAGTCTTGTTGCAACTATAGGGATCATCTGTCACTAGAGCATTTAACCCTGAAAGTGCTTCTGATACCAGGTTGTCATTGGCACGGACGGTAACAAATAAAAATATAAAGAAATATATAAACGATTGAACGGCTCGTCGAGCCATGGTACAAAAGAGTGACTATTCAATTAAAAATGAATGAAGAGTGTGGATGATACTCCATTATGCGAGTTGATTTATCTATGAAAATATTATACAACAACATACTCGTATCTCTCCTGTATGCTTCGTCACGTCGAACAGGCGATCCCACGGAACTTAGCATATTCTTCCCGCCCGGGGGCCAAAGTTAATATCAGAGCACATCAGACCTGAATAACTGTGGGGTGTATAATTAGGGTGGTGGACCCTATCTTGGCGTATTCTTGGTACTTGAGCTTACCGAAGCTGTGAAGCCGTAATTCCTTCTCGAACTAAACCGATATAACTCCTGATTAGAGCATTTTTCCATTTTATAGCTGAGTCAAGTTGATACTTTCTATACAAAAGCGTTCTTGAATGTCGAATCGGGTCAATTAGGCAATACCACAGACCACGGATTCCATGACAATTTGGAAACACTGGCTGCAGGTTTCCTCGCTTTTTTTTTGGCCCCAATGATCAGCCTCACGCTAACTGGAGAAATGTGTTCAATCGCTTGAAATAAATTTCCAGTGTGCTCCACTAAATACGAGCGAACATGGTGTCGAAATGCTTCAAGTTGCCTTTCACCCTTGGCAAAATCCCCACTTGAACTCCTTGTTGCGCCCTGATCGACATCTCCATTTTGGATAATATTTTCACGATGCATTGCCAAGACGCTATCAACCGCAACACCACTCACTACTCTTTATCAGAAGAAACGTGAAGCGAGAAATCCCACACGGGAAGATGGCCCCCAAGGATGAGACATGGTTTGTATCCGTGTCTTCCGGATCTTCATTCAGGGGAAGGCTGAGGGAATCGCTACTTCTCGATTGGTTTGCTCGTGGAGCTGCTTTTCCAGTCCGTGTCTGAGCTTGATAGCATTCATACAATCCGAAGAACACTGTCGACCTTGCTCATCTCGTACCCAAGGTTACTGCCACTCATTTTGATACTCTCGCTCATTTCAATGCTCTCTCTCATTTTGTGATTTTTATTCCTTCTCTTTTCATTCATCCCTTATAGGGCATTTCCAGGATGTCTCGTATACGAAGTCCTGGCGTTTTTCTTTATGCTTCTCTCTTCCTCGCCGTTGTGACAAATGCCTTCGTTTTATTCCCGGCATCTAATGCCCCCAATGACTACTCTGACAACTGTGTCGGCGCCCTCTCTCGGAACATTACTGAATGTTCAAATGCTATTCCTACGCTGGATCCAAATGGATTTTATACGGAAAGCTCGTTGGAGCGGTCCTGCACATCTGATTGTCGTTCCGCTCTACAATCATGGGAGCAGAGTATTGAGGACTCTTGCAATGGCGTGACATATACCAATGATTATGGAAACACTGTCCCCGTCTCTTCTGTTGCTACTATGATCAACTTCAACTTCAACCAAACTTGCTTGATCAACGATGGGGAATATTGCAACATTGTCCTTGGAAATCTGACCAAAGCTTCAGTCAATGGCTCTTCGGGCCAGAAGGATTGCAACAAATGCAGTCTTTTCAAGCTCCGCGATACCGCCCAATTTCGATATGGGAATGGCCCTCTGGTGTATTCCAAGTCGCTGTACCAGAGTTACACATCTTCGTGTCACTTCACGGGGTATCCACTGACGGCTAAACCCACTTCGCTACCAATGTCTACAACGGCTGTGTCTTCGTAAGGGCCCACCCTATTCCTCTTTGGTGGGTTCCATGCTAATCACTGAGCTACAGTTCCCGGCTCATAGGCTCCAAAACTTCTTCTGCCTCAGCAGGCCCAACCACGACCTGTGGTGGCTCCAAATACAACATCAAATCTGGAGATACCTGTAACTCGATCTCCCTATCTCAAGGAGTTGCCACCTGGCAGCTTCTTATGGACAACGATCTCCCAGCCTATTGTGCGAAGTTTCCCAAAAAAGGCAGTCTCTGCATCAAAAACAAATGTGATGTATATACCGTTCAGAGCGGAGATACATGTACCTCTGTGTCTGCTGCACACAACATCAGCGCTGTACAGCTTCGCTCTTATAATCCCTGGATTGACTCTGGCTGCTATAACTTCAATCGCACTATTGACTCCCAGATTTGCATCAATGAACCAGGCCAGAAGTACGTGCCACCGGCAACCACCACTTCAGTTGCTGGTTCTACTGCAAGCTCTGCTGTTCCAGTTCCGAGCGATGTAGCTGCCAATACTACAACCCGATGCGGAGAGTACTACAAGGTGGGCAAGGGTGAGGAGTGTGATGTTTTCACTGCCAAATTTGGAATTTCTCGGGGCGACTTCGGCATTCTAAATCCCGAGGTAAATGTGAAGTATGTTTGAGTTGCTCGGTAATTGGAATAGATTTATTACTAACTGGAATCCGTTCAAGCTGCACCAACCTCCTTGCTAATACTAGCTACTGTGTTCAGCCAGTGGGAGATAGTAAGTACCTTCCTCACGCAATGAGCCAAGGCTTTGGGCAACTAACCAATAACAAATGATTAGTCAATTCCTATCCCAATGCTCCAGGGTACACAGGTCCCTCGTCATCAATCTCCAAGGTTGCTTACACCAGTTTGCCCGATGCCACATACGCCCCCATCTTTGAGGTCGCTCCTCTAGCCCCACAAACGCGCCAGGGCTGTGATGCATATGCATCGGGAGCTGATCTCCAATATGACTACGATGATGTGTCCCAGTGTGATAGTGCTAGCTACTTCTACGATGTTACCGTGGCAAACTTGATACTGTGGAATCCGTCTCTACAGAGTACCAGCACTAGCAGTAACTCGTCGACCAACTTGGGAGATTGTTCCTTTTCTAAGCAGTTCCGCTATTGCATGCACTATCCTGCCCCTAGCGCAACTGGGTCTATTTCTGGAAGCCGTACCTCTACGCCTCTGCCAACCGCTACCAAACATTGAGAACAGAGATAGAAGGCAGTTTGACATTGGTTGTTTGAAGAATCGTCGATCCGTTTGTATCTAGCCTAGTCTATACCAGATGAGAGATCAAATCAACTGGGTTTATAGAATCTGGGTACTTAGAGAACTCTAATATCGAAGTCTTAGCCCAACCCTTGAGCTGGGTCACAACATTGTCATCGTTGGAATGAGTCTCGGGGTTTATTTCACATTGGAGCGTAACTTCAGGCCCTCGCATCGCCCTACCGAGATAAAAAGGGAGATCTGTTGTACTTTTCATTGTTTCAGTCCATAAGTGGTCATGATCCAGTTGACAAATTCTGCGCCTCTTTGCTACCTTGACCAACGGATATTTCCTTGTGGCCTAACGCTTTTTAGGTGGTATATACTTTCTTTATGGACTTTGGAAAATCTATACGATTTGATGCTTGAGATATATATATTTCTAGCTTTGAGCAACGTAATTTTCGATACTATAATATTGCAGCTGTTAGATTGATTTAAAACTTATATATAGTGTCAACAAGGATTATCAACACTTATCTACAAGAAATGAAATATGAAGGAGAAGTGGTTGTCGAGATATAAATGTAGAATAAACCTCATTTACTATGGTGTTTTGGTGATCCACTCGTACCCGCGAGGTCTCATCTATTGCTTACCAAGTACGATTAAGTGGTCATCAGTGAGCAGGACCCTGAGCAAAAGCGGCGGCACCGCGTCCTAAAATCCGGTATATACTGCTACATATACACCGGATTTTAGGCCATGCAACATGGCTTTCCCTTTCTGTTTTAGTGCTCATCCTTTGCCGCTTTTTATCACTGAGTAAACTGGCACAACCCTGAGTGCTCACTGAGCGTCACCAACAGCCTCATCCACTCACTGCGCACGACCTGATTAAAGTGAGAGAGTAGCTAAGTCAAGACTAGGCTTCAGCACGGCCCCAAACCCAACCCAGACACTATGGAGCAATACAGTGAGGAAATTGACTTTATTATGCGTTGATTAGTGCTTTTTCAGCCACTTATACACCCGGTCTGCGATCTCAAGGTTATTCTTCTCCATGAAGAACATATGCCCGTTGCCATGGATTCCCTCCTTGCCTAGATCCGCGTACTCAACGTCTACGCCAACTTGCTTCAAATACTTGACAGTGCAGTAATCGTATGGCGCATGGAACGATGCTTCGCCAGTTACAACAAGTTCTGGGATTTTGGCCAGGTTCGTCACCTGCTTCGCTGGGGACTTCTGCATGATACACTCATCATGATCGGCGTCGATTGCTGACTCGATCGTTGTCTCAATATTTTCGGCATTCTTGCCTGCAGACGGTTCGTATCCGATTGCGAGGTCAGTGAGACCGAAAGCGAAAGCTGGGTCATTCCCAAACGGTGGGCGGAACGTGAACGGCGGACCAGACGGCTCGAGTTGGACGATACCCTTAACTAGGTCTGGGCGCATGTCTCCGACTCTCCAGCCTACTCAATCGTTAACCACTTCAGCGGGTCATAGTGTTTGGTTGAAGATATGAAGATACTGACTGTATGCACCCGCCTGCGAGTGACTGATGATATAACAGTCGCCTACGAGGTCGACTAGAGCTGAATATGCCTGCGCATTTTGTTCTTCGCTTATGAGGTTGTCGGTCTGGAACTGCACCTGGCTTCTGTAGAAAGCGTCGAAAGTTGAGTCGCCAATGCGACCGGTGCCAGGCCATTGCGTGTGAAGCTTCGCCTGTGGCCATTGGTTGCCGTTGTTTGCTACGTCGGTGAAAATATCGGAGACAGAATTGGGGGAGCCAATGTACCCCATACTTCCCTGTCCGGAAAACCAGAAGGAGCGGCCGCGTTCAGGCTGGTCTGAGAGGTAGACTGTGTGACCTTTGGAGATAAAATAGGATGCCCATCCTGGCCGTCCATCTGGAGTATCAAGGAAATTGGTGCCGGTCTGAGCCATGCCTGCAATGAAGATAATAGGAAGTGGTGGGTTTGCTGGGGTTGGCTTCGGGGAAAGCTTCTCTACGTAAATTTGCCCTATCATAGCCATTGATGTAGCATTGGTTGCATTGTCCTGTTTTGCAATCTTAGATAGGCGTAGAACTAGTGGGAATTAATGACTTGCTGTTATGTTCGTGTATCGTCCGCCAACGTAGAGAACTTCACGCTTAGGAACTATGTCCCTAAGCCGGGAACTATGAGTATGCACATTGCCTCCTACAAAAGCGACTTGCGCCAAATATGTGAGAGAAGTCAAGGTACTAAAATTGACCATATTAACTCAATTCTGCGAGAAGTGCAAAGACCCTGAAAAGGAGACGTTTGTAGGGAGAGGAACAGGTTGAGGGAAAAAAGTATCCGTGCCTTGCAGCCTACCCCCGACCCGTCCACACCGCTTCTAGCTTAGGCGATCTTATATCGGCGTGACTTCATATAGTAGATCGATGATGTTGATGGTCCAATCAATATAAGAGAAGAGGGGTATAGCATGTAATTATCTATCTTTCCAGTGTATAGAATGCAGTATGATGTACATAAGATGATAGAAGAAAAGGAAGAAAAGGAAGAAAATACTAAATATCATCTCTCCAATCCCTCCAAAGGACAAATTGCTCAATCACTGACATCGAAACTTGTCCCGCAACCGCAGTTACTCGTTGCGCGGGGGTTATCCACAATCTTGAACTGGCTCCCGATCAACTCGGTGGTATAGTCCACAGTGCTACCGTGCAGCAGCTCGAGCGAGGGCTCATCCATAACGACCTTAGCCTCGCCAGCTGACTCTGTTGCAGCTTCATCTGCTTCTCCTTCGAACACAGTATCCTCTTCAGGGTCAATTTTAGAAGCCCCTTCTAGCGACATCATATATTGGAAACCGTGACATCCGCCGCTGGTGACTGTGATGCGAAGATGGTGGTATGGATTCTCTTCCTTGATAGCGGAAGGAGAGGAGGATGGGTCTGTGATATCGCGGAGACGCTGCTCTGGGTTAGCTTGATGATTGACAAAAATATAAAGCTTCTCAAAGGGAAGGGGAAGCAAAATGAAGAATAAAAAAGGAAACATGCAACAGTGAGGATTCGCTGGTGGTCACCCACCCAACTACTAACTCACCGGCGTGTGGCTTAAGTACGGCTGAGCGGACGGGAAGCCCTGTTTTCCACACCCTATGGTCGCATGTATTTGGAAGAGCATCTGAAGGACCCAAGGCGCGGCTGAGGTCGCCCCATGTCGGCTGAAAGCAAGCCGACACCGATACAGACCCCCGGCACTTGAGGCGCATGCAGCCCGTACAGCTTCCCATCCGTCCCAGCACAAGCCAGAGAGAAGAATCAACCAAATGCAGGCTAAGAAAAATGCAAAGAAATCCATTATCAACTCACCTCGACGGCCCGTGGTGAGATACCAATCATGAGGGATTGTCCATCATCTCCGGTTCTCGGGTTTTGCGTCACCTTGGTGGCAGGACGGATGGACGAGGAGGAAAAACACGAATTTTGCTGGCGGATATAGCGAGAGGTTGGGCATTGAGATGCTGAGGGCTTGAAAGGAGCTGCACTACTTGCGACAGTGCTTAGCCGGCGAGGAACGATTTCGCCGCCGGGGAATGCGGAGAGGCGCAAGGCCGATCGGGAAGTTGAGAAGAGCCGGCACGTCTGTGGTTGGGATAACCGCCGGATGGTTGTCGATGAGAATAAATGGCGTGACATGGCTTACGTGTGAACGAATGAAATATTTCAAGAAGAGAAAGCAAAGAGATGAAGAACACTTGATATCAAATCATTCATTTCGATTACATCGGGTTAGTCAGTATACCAGTGACGCCATTGGTCAGATGAAGACGGAAATACTGGGCAGAATAATACCCCTATCAGGAAGGGATCGGCGGATGGTGGGGGACTGCAGATAAATGTATCAGCTTTCCAACGCTGTATGACTCTCTCCTGAAGCTCCGATCTGGTAGATCTCTCGGCCCTGTGAAACATACACACATCCCAGGAGCTATTTGGATCTAAACCGTCATCATGGGTTCCCGGCAGCATGTTCGGGACATCGAAAGCGGCTCCCCGCTTCCCTATACAGATGATATCAGAGCTTACAAGAAGGAGTATGCCGAAGCTCTTGATGCTCAAGATCCGCTTCGGAACTTCCGGGACGAGTTTATCATTCCATCCAAGAAGGATCTGAAGCGGAAGACTCTGGCAGTAGACGAGAGTACGTATTATGATCTCTTGTATACCCTGCCGTTCTTTCTAACCTTTGACTTTCTTCCTTCTCGTTAGGCAATGAAGCGTCCGATGAAAAGTCTATCTACTTCTGTGGTAACTCACTGGGAGTCCAGCCTCGTAGCACCCAGAAATATATCGAGCAGTACCTGCGAACTTGGGCAACGAAAGGCGTGACCGGGCACTTCGTGCCGCATGACGATCAATTGCTGCCTCCTTTTGTCGACGTTGATAGCGCAGCCTCCAAGCGTATGGCTTCAGTTGTCGGCGCATCCCAAAGTGAGGTGGCAGTTATGGGCACCTTGACTGCCAATTTGCACCTGTTAATGGCAAGCTTCTATCGCCCGACGAAAGAGAAGTATAAGATTATACTAGAGGGCAAGGCTTTCCCCAGTGATCATGTACGTCTTTTAGTTTTGCAGTCTAATTGTGTGTTTTTTTTTGCCAGTACTAACAGGAGTGCAATGTAGTATGCGGTGGAGTCTCAGCTCCGCCATCATGGCTTCGATCCGAAGGACGGCATGGTTTTAATCGAACCCGAGGATCTAGATCAGCCTACCCTGAGCACAGAGCAAATCATCAAAGTGATTGATGACAACGCTTCCAGTACCGCACTCGTCCTCCTCTCGGCCATTCAGTTCTACACAGGGCAATACTTCGATATTGAGCGGATCACGGCTCACGCCCACTCTAAAGACATCTTGATCGGCTGGGACTGCGCTCATGCTGCCGGCAATGTGGACTTGCAACTTCACGATTGGAATGTGGATTTCGC